GTAGCACACGTCTCTCCCGTAATTGAGAAAAATGGAGAGTATTTAGAACTACCGTGGACAGATGATCGGTATGCCATGCAAATGCCGGGAAGATAATCATCCTAGTCACGCTGATCATCTCGAATTAATTTTGCCAAACTATTGTTTAAAAAGCCGTGAATGTTTTCTGTTTTTCCATTTGATGCCGGATGGTAACTACCGGTTTTGATATGGTTAATATTTAATTGCTTTGTTAATTGTTTTAACACATTTGAGTTATATTCCATGCCACGATCACTAATTATCAGCTATGGACAACCATAGCGGGGAATAATTTCTGTTAATAATACTTTTGCACCTAATTCTGTAGTCTTATTAGGCAGAGCAAACAATTCGACCCATGAACTAAAATGATCAACAATAGACAAAATATATCTATTGCCATTATCTGAAACTGGTAACGGGCCAACATGGTCAATTCCGATTATTTCGAAAGGGTATTCCGGTTTAGGCATTTCATGAATTTCGGCTCTCAGCTTTTTTAACTTCCGGGTGGTACATTTGACAAGTCTGAATGAAAGTGACAACATCTTTGTACATGTTTTTCCAGAAATATCTACTCCGAACGTTATCGTAAAGCTTATCAATGCCGGTATGAGATCCAAATGGTGATTCGTGAAAGTCTTGTAAAATTTTTACTTTGAAAGAATCAGGGATTACTAATTGCAGCCGTTGGGTTTTATCATTTTGAACTGGTCGGGATATGTGATAAACAACACCGGATAAGAGAACATACTCGTCTAGGGATTTGTCGTCTGTTCCAAATGCTAAAGCTTTGCGTAATTTGCGGGTCTTCTGATTGAATTTTGCGGGGAAACGTCAATTCCAGTCTGGGGGTGCGTTCATCATGCTCATCGTCGGAATCAAAGTCGGAGTTGTTTGCAGTAAAATCGTCAGGCAATACGTCATGGGCCGGGTTATCCGTGTCAATAACGAATAAGTCTTTGTCGAATTGTGGATTAGTGTTTTTGGATCGAATTCGAGACAAAAAGTTATCTTGGCAGTTTTTCGAGCCTGGCATATGCTTGATATCACACTGCATTTCCTCAAGCATAATACCCCAACGTTGAATACGTGGGTTTTTATTTTCCGCTGTAAACAGAGCTTTTAAGGGCTTATGGTCTGTAAAAATAGTAAAGTCAGCGCCGACTAAGTAATGACGTAACTTATTAATGCAATATACAATGCCTAATCCTTCTCGTTCTATCGTGGGATATCGTAATTGTGAGGTGTTAAGTTGATGCGAAACATATTGAATCACTCTTTCGCCGCCAGGGAAGTCTTGCGTTAAAACACCACCTACTGCGTATTTGGACGCATCTGTGTATAACTTATAGGGTTTAGTCATGTCAGGGTAGGCTAATATAGGGGCTGATATTAGTTTCTCTTTAAGTGATTTAAAACTAGTATCGACTTCCGGTGTCCATAAAAATTGGGCATTTTTCTTTGTCAGATTGATGAGGGGGTGGGCAAATTTCAGAAAAATGAGGAATAAACTTCCGGTAATAAGAGGCCATACCTATGAAGGATCGAACTTGTTTAACATTTTTAGGTGCTAACATGTCTTTTATGGCGCTAACTTTTTCGGGGTTGGGCCGAATACCATCTTTAGAAATGATATGACCGAGATACTTTACTTCCGGTTTTAAAAAACAACATTTAGAGGGTTTTAATTTTAGACCAGCCTTGCGTAATCTATTAAAAACCTCTTCCAAATGTCGTAAATGTTCCTCAAACGTCCTAGAATGTATTATTATATCATCAATGAAAACTTTGACATACTTCGATAATAGACCGTTCATTATTTTATCCATAGCATTTTGAAAAACTGCCGGGCTATTACATAATCCGAAGGGTAATCGATTGAATTCGAATAAACCTTTAAAACTAGCAAACGCGGTTTTGTGTTTGAAATGTTCGTCCATCTCGATCTGCCAGAAGCCATTCTTTAAATCTAAGCACGTGAAGAATTTACAGTCACCTAAAGACGAAATTAAGTCATCCATGTTTGGGAGGGGGTAAGAATTTTTGGTCAATTGACAGTTCAACTTCCGGTAATCTATGCAAAAGCGGTACGATTTATCTGGTTTCGGTATAAGAACTATCGGTGAAGAGTATTCGCTAGTACTTGGACGAATTATACCTGCTTCCAACATATCATTTATTTGTTTATCCACTAATTCTTTTTGAAGTAATGGAATGCGATAAGGCCTTAACCGAACAGGTGGATTTGTGCCTGTGTCAAATTTAACTTTAACTATATTACACTTTCCAAGTGACAGGTCATTAGCGGCGAAGATATCAGCGTGTTGCCTCAAGAAAGATGTTAGGTGATAGTGTGCACCCGGTTCGATGTGCTCCAGTTGTTTACAATCAAACACCGCTGAGAAGTCTGAAGTAAGTGGGCGTTCCTCTTTATTAATTGAACAAACGGATGACACTTGGTCGTTAACAATGCTATTAGGTGAGATTACTTCCGCGACTGCCAAAATCTGTTTTAATTCTAAAGGAGGAGCCAGTTTCGTTAATTAATTCCACATGAACACTTGTTTTTGTGGGACAATGAATACTGCTGGATATTAATAGACCGGGTTGATCAAATAAGGTTTTACACGTATCGATTGGTGAAACTAATATGCATTTTCCTTTCATATAATGCGGAATTTTAAGTTCTAAAATATTAGATGAGTTTGGTGGGACATGCGTAGACTTCCGGATGTGCAGTAATTTCACTGTTTTATATTGCCCAGTTTTTGATCGAGAATACAATGGAATAATTTCATTATCTAAACGTAAGGTGTGACAATTATAATCCAATATAATACCGAAAGTTTGAAAAAAAAACGTTCCCTAGAATCATATCTGCCTAAATTTTGTATTATATGAAATTCGTACTTAATGTTTGTTTGGCCTAACCTAAATCGTAACGTACATTTACCTTTGACATTTAAGGATGTCCCTGTGACGCCGACCATTTTATGCAATTTGTCCCTATCAGTAATGAAGTTGGATAAGTTTTCTTTTGGAAGTTTTAGGAATGTTGTATAGTCAATAGCAGAGCATTCAGCGC